TCACATTATGTTATCCTGGCTGTTTTAAATGCTTATCATTTGGGCTGGGAGGCCTGTTTGCTGTCAGAAGACTTCCTTGAAGTAAGTATGTCTCCCTATAAACTTTTCAAAATCTGTTTGCTTTTCAAGTATTCATTTCCTGTCTTCATAAAACATTTAGGATTTTACTGGGGAGATGATTCTGGGTTCACAGCTCATACTTGGTAATTTTGTAAATGCTGTATTACAATTTCTGCTATCTTCATTTGACATCCTTGAAAGGTTTGCTGTCATCCTAATTATTGTTCCTTGGTTAATGATTTACTTCTTGACTGGCAGTTAATAGTATCTTTTCCCCCCTTATCTTTGTAGTCCTTGAGTTTAACTATGCTACATCTAGGCATGTTAGATCTTGGGTTCTTGCTTGTGGGCATCTTTTAGACTCTTTCTACTTGTATTCTACCAGGTGTTTTCAGCAATTCTGGGAAATTTTCTTGGGTGATTTCCTAAAATCAAGTGCCCCACTTCTTTTGTTTTTTCTCAGTTCTTGGGGGTCACTCCACCTTGATCTCTCCTCTAGGTCTGTTAGTAGGGTCTGTAGACTTTCTAACAGTTTCAATAATTCAGTGATTTTTTTCTTGAGCCAGCATTTCCAGCTGCTCTTCATTGTGCCCAATTTCATTTTCCACTGCAGTAAGTCTGCTCTTTGTTGTTTTCAGAATTTTAGAAACTTTCTATTGTAGACTCCATTTTCTACATTAATTCCTCCTTTTTTATATCTCTTAACTGACCCTTAAGGGCCTCATGTTATTTTCTTCCAGTTTTTCTTCTACTTGGTCTTGTGGTTTTCTTAGCATTGCTTAATTTCTTTTCATGTATCATTTACCTGCCTGGGGACAGCTCTCAAGAGGGCTTGCAGTATCTTTTTCTACCTTCACTGGTCCTCAAAGTTACCAGGTTCAGCAGTTCTTCAGCATTTTCATATTGTATAAATACTCTTTGGCTTTCACAATTTTCAAAGGTGGTTGGGTGGTTTTTATACTCTTGTGTGATTATTTTAGCCAATTTTCTTCTCTCTGCTATTTGTCATGGCTTATGGCAATATCCTGCCTTGCTCTGACATCTTAGGTATCCCCTCTGCTCCCCAGACATTCATATTTTGTTCTGCTATGGAATCATCCCTTCCCTTTTACTTCTCCCTTGAATATTCTTCTGGGCTTTCACCATTTCACTTCAGCATTTATTAAGAACCTATTATGTGTCACACCCTGTGTTTAGTATTAGAATGCAAAAAGAAAAAATACCACAGTTGCCACCTTCAGTAGCTTATACTCCAGTGGGGAAATGTGGGAGAGACACAAATAAGTGTAACATCAGATGGTAGGAGCAGAGGAATAGAAAAGGGAGAACCCATGAAATAGTACTGTCATGGTGTCCCCAAACAAAGGAGTCACAAGATGTGCCAGGCTGAGAGTCTCCAGCACATTCCAGCTTGTCCCTAAAGGTTTGTGGAGCTCCATGTTGACTTCTGGAAGCATGATAACAAGAGAGTGGGAATGATTGACAGATTCCCCACCCAACTTAAATTCTCCCCAGGAGGTTTCTATCCAACCTACCACTTGGTGAGGTATATGAGATTTCTCCTAGTTGCATATGAGAGCAGAAGATTATTCTACTACTTGATTTTCTCTTGTTATTTAGACTGCATTCATATCTTAATGAAATGTTTTTGCTATCAGATTGGTTACTCTCACATGGTCTGGCAATATAGAGTATTATTATACTAGATGGGGGCTTGAGCTGTGGTTTGCATAACTGATTACTCAAAACACCTACCCTGAAATTAGGAAAAGTAGCAAGAGGCTCCAGAGCCAGAGTTTTTAAGAGATTTCAGGGGCCCTATGCTTTGTCGAATTAGCTTCCACTACTGTGGAAGCCATGTGTTTCCATTGTCCCTACTGCAACTGTTTCCTGGGTTGCTAGATCTGATCTGGCCCTTACTTCTCACTGGTAAGAGGTAGTTATTAGGCAACAGTCCATTCTTCCTCCTCCTCACCCCAATCCCATCATGTTGCTGGAGACACAATTTAAACATAGCCCAGGCTTCCAGAAAGGAACTATTCCTTCTACGTTCTTCCTAACAACAGGCCTCATAGACATGTAGTAAAACTTCTTCACTAACCTATTCCTCCTAGACATTTCTAAGCTTGGTTCTGCTTTATCTTCTGCATTCTGGATGCAGCCCTAGAATCAATAACTTATCAATAGAACTCAGTGTTTTCTCACCGCCCAAAACCTTGCCAGGAAGGGTGAAACCATTTTTCATACAGGCCATAGGTACAACTGTGTCATTCTGCTTGCTGCTGGGGCCATCCTGCTGAAGTGATGGTGTGGTGTCGTAGATTGAATGTTGAAATTCAAGTTAGGAAGACCTGTGTTTGAATCCCTCCTCTGAGCCAATGTAACTTAACCAAGTCACTTACCCTCACTGAACCTCAGTTTTCTGTGGTGAGACAATAATACCTCTACTCCCTACCTTGTTGTTGTTCATTCTTCATACTCAGAAGAACAATGACATCACAATGTTGGGGTCAAGGTACAATGTGTCCAACTGTGGCTGATCAGTCCAGTGTCAGCTCAGAAGACTCTACCCCAGGTTGGGCACAAATAGTCCATTTCAACACTTGAGATGGAGATGTCTCTAGATTTGTACTTCTCACCTTGCTTTTGAGCCACTGTGATTCTGCTTTGCTCAGAGAGCACAGCGCCTTCTTTGGTGCAGCCATGCCATGTAGGGGGTCTATGCCAGTGTCTCCCGTGTTATGCAATCCATTCCAAAGTTCTTCAGAGAGACTTTGAGAATGTCCTTGTATTGCTTCTTCTGACCTCCATGTGAGTGCCTGCCTTGTGTGAGTTCTCTGTAAAATAGTCTTTTAGGCAAACACACGCATTTGGCATTCAAACAACATGGTAAGCCCATTGGAGTTGCACTGTCTGCTCTGCTGTGGGGCTCAAAAGGGATAATGAGGGTAAAGCACTTTTATAGAGCTTTAAGTGATAAATAAATGTCAGTAACCATTATTTCTTCAAATGACAAACGCTAAAATAATGAAGATAATAGAAAAAAAAGATTGCTTGCAAGGATTTGCTGGAGTAAAGGGAGAAATAAAAGGTATAAAGGCAAAGGTATAGTCAAAAACTGGATAAAACTAGGCCTTTATCAGATGTTAAAAGAGGATTCATTCTTCACAGGAGTAGCCTGTCCACCTTTGTCTTTGTATCCCTGGGGCCTGGCACAATGGATATGCAAGTCCTCTCCTTCTCTGAGCCTTAGTTTCCCCTTCTGGAAAATGAAGGAGTTAGACTACATAGTGTCTGAGCTTGTCACTAGATGGTACAATGCTTGGAAAGCTAGACCTAGAGTGGGAAAGACGTGAATTCAAATGTGACCTTAGACATATGTTAGATGTATGACCATGGGCAAGTCACTTAACCTTAAGTTTCCTCATCTGTAAAATGGGGAAAATAATCACACCTAATTCACAGGGTTGTTGAGAGTATAAAATTAGATAATATTTATAAAGCTCTTTACAAACCTGAAAGTTCTATATCAATGCTAGCTCTTCTTCTCCCCCTCCTTCTCCTTCTTGTTTCTATGAATTGAGGCTTCTCAGGACAATCTTTCTAGAAAGGTCCTTCCCTGAGTGTCATTCTCTAAGCCTCTACTTCAGGCCTCTTGGCCTTTCTGTACTTGGAGCAGGGAAGGAAGAAGAAAGGAAAAAGGAAAATCTATGTTTCAATTCAATTGATAACATTTTTGAGCATGAAGGAACCTCAGAGATCAGTTAGTTTAATCTTGCTTTTGTGGGTAGAGAAGCTGAGGTCTGGAGCAGGGAAAGGACTCATTCATTCTAGGTCACATAGTGAGTTAGAGGAAGCCCAAGATTACAACCCAGGTCTTCTGACTTACAAGACAGGGACCTTTCTATTACAAACAAGCTGGCACAAGGCTGGGGACAGAATCTAATAGGGGGGTATATTTACAGGCAGATAGCTAGGTGGCACATTATATAGAGTGCCAGGCCTGAAGTGAGGAAGACTCATCTTCCTGAGTTCAAATCCCACCTCAGATACTAGGCAAATCACTTCACTCTGTTTGCCTCAGTTTCCTCATCTGTAAAATGAGCTGGAGAAGGAAATGACAAACCCCTCCAATATCTTTGCCAAGAAAACCCTAAATGAGGTCATGAAGAGGTGGACACAGCTGAAAAACTACTCAGTAACAGTAAATATGATGCAGAGTAGAAAATGAAATGGTTCGATCCAGATAAAGCTGTCTACATTTTTTGAGGACAGAAAAACCTCTTTCACCTGAGGACATTGGAGAAGGCTTCATGGAGGAGGTAGAACATGAATTCAGACCCTGAATGGAGAGAAAAGGGATTTCAGATGATGGAGATGAGGAGGAAGTACATCCCAGGCATGGAAGGAGGGAGGGGGAAGCAGCTTATGAAAATTTATAATGGCTGGATGAAATTGTGAAATAGACTCTGATTTGCCTGGGATATAAATTATCTAAAATGGCGTAGAATGAAATATATTGGCTCCAGATTGTAGAGATTCATGAATGCAATGCTAAAGATTTTGTATTCAATCCTGTAGGCAATAGGGAGCCCTTGACAATTCTTGGACAGAAAAATGACACGGTCAAACCTAAAAATCAAAGAATCTCAGTTGAAAAAGATCTCAGAGGTTCCTTCAGAGGGAAGATTATTTTGACAGCTGTGTAAAAGGCGATAGGAAAGGTTGGGAGCAGGAAAGCTAGTTAGGAATCTATTACATAGTTCAGACAAGAGGTAATGAGGTCTTGACCTGGGGAAGTGGGCATGAGAGCAAAGAAAAGAGAGCTCACCCATTCCTCTATCTCTTTCCCCTCCCCCTACTCTTGGAAAAAAAAAAAGTTGCTGAGGAGCCAGTGTGTGCTTCCTCCAACCTTCACCACATCAGCTTCTGCTGCTTACCAATATCACTGTGTGCAGAGCACCAGGGGCTTTAGCCATTAATAGAAAACAGCTGTTGGCTCAGCAGTCTTCCCTACCAGATGTCACCCTCTGCAGTTGTTTGAAAATCTGGAGACAAAACAAAATTTAAAAAAAAAAAACAATTAGAAAACTTTTAAAAAATATCCCTCACTTTTCATTTCTCTTTTAATTATATAAAGTCAGAAGATGTAGGCTTAAATCTTAGAAACACTACTATGTGGTATTGGGCATGTTACTTCCTCTCTCTGGGCCTCAGTTTCCCTATCTATAAAATGTGAGGTCTAAGATTCTTTCTATGATTTAAGTGTAACTTTAGATTTCTTTCTACAACAATCATGTGCACACAGGAAAAGTGAGGTAAAGGTTAATAGCTTAACTCTAATTGTAAGCTGGTAGACACCACAGGCTAACAAATTATTTTGCATCAGTGAGAAAAGCAGATGACAATAATACGAAGAATGGTTCCTATTTGTAAGCCTTTAAGGCTTACAATACAGCACTCCAACACCCATAGTAGGACTTTGGACTTAGACTGGTGGACATTCCCCATATCAGCCCCTGCCCAAACTCAACAGGGCATTTGTTCCCTGTCCATCTTTAATTCCATGTTGCCCCCCACCCCACTCCCATATACAAACAGCTCTCAGATTGGTAATCAAACCACCACTGCCATTCCTAGAAAGTTTATGTTTAATCACTTGCCCTATGACTCCACTCATTTTACCTGTGACTTCCCTGACCAAAACACTCCTCCTTGGCCACCACTACACTATATATATTGTCTTTCCCTATTAGAATACAAGCTTCTTGAGGGCAAAGACTGTTTTTGTTTTTTGTATTTGTATCCCCAGATATTAGCACAGACTCTGGCATGTCATAAATGCTTAATAAATCCTTTTTAATTTCTTTCATTCATAGCAATTTCCTATTAAAAAAAAACTTGGGAGGTAGCTAGTACAAGGATTACTATCCCCATTTTATAAATGAGGAACTTGGGGGACTTCCAGGAAGATAGCCAAGAGGCCATGTCATCACCTCAAAACATGAGTCAGATAAAGTAAATGAATAATAACAAAAAGAAGAAAAGAAAGATATCCTCATAATAAAAATCCTCCCAGAAACTGAGCAGATGAGTATTTTAAAAAAAGAAAAAGAATCTCACATTACAATGAATCTAATACTATAGGATAAAACAACTGTGAGAAGCAACCTTAAGAAAACAGGAATAAAGCTGTAATAACTACAACTAGATCTCCAGAAACAAGATTAGAACAACTTCACGATGTCCCAGAATGATTAAGATGCTTAATGAAAGAACTAAAGGAAGAGATAAGGGAGTGAAATTAGAGCTCTTAAAGATGTCAAAAAGAAAATCAATGTTTTAGAACAAAATGTGCAGAATTTTAATAAAGTATTAGACACTGAGAAATAGAATGAAAATGAGAATGCAAAAATGCAATGATTCAAAATAAAATATTGGTGCAAAGTCAAAAGATACAAAAATTGAGATCTCTAAATGCAAGAGCAATTGATCTCAAAGAAAGTTGTGAGAGAATCTGAGAATATTAGTATGCAATTTTTAAAAGTACAAACAAAAAAAAGAATACCATACTTCAGGAAAATATGTAATAAACTATCCTAGTAGTATTGGAAATGGAAAATAAAGTTATTACCTTATAGAAATTCATCATACACAATTAAAAAGGACCCTAAGTTCAATTCATCTAGATATGTAGTATCCAAGTTGCAGAACTTCATTCACTATTCAACATAGACTCATACAGGCATCCAGGAGGACACCCTTCACATATCAAGGGAAAACAGTGTCAATCACATAACACTATTCCTAAATCACAAGAAATGGGGGAAAAGGCTGGCTTAAGACTGCCTCTATGAGGCACAGTAGATAGATCACTGACCCTGGAGTCAGGAGGACGTGAGTTCAAATCTGGCCTCAGATCTTGACACTTACTAGCTGTGTGACCCTGGGCAAGTCACTTAACCCCAATGCCTAGCAAAATACAAAAAAAAAAAAAGACTGCCTCTATCCCTTGTTAAACAGTTCTCCCCTTAGCCCCAGTTGCACAAAGTACTTCCTTCCATTTTCCTCTATTTTTTTACATGACATTTTATATTTAATTCTATCCATTTGGAACTTATTATGGTATATGCTGTGAACTGACTTAAACCCAATTTCTGCCAAACTGATTTTAGTTTGGCAGAACTAATTCTTGTTGGGGTCGGTTTGTGTTCTTAGGTTTATCAAACACTAGGCTAGTGTGTATGATTTTTTTTTTAGGATCTTGTTTATCTAATCTATTTTATTAATCTATTTTATTATTTTTGAAGCAGTACTAGTTTTGAGGATTACTTGCTTATAACAAAATTTGATATCTGGTAATGCTAGATCCACTTCATTCCTACTTTTTCATTTTTCCCTTGAGATTTTTGACTTTTTGTTTTTCCAAATTAATTCTGCTATTATTATATGTAATTCTATAAAGTGATCCCTTGGTAGCTTGATATGACACCAAATCTGTAAATTAACTAGCCCAGTCATTTGTGTTATATTGGCAAAAAAAAAAAAAGGCCAAGGTCAATTCACTTGCAAGTAAAGACATCACCCTCCTGATGTCATTGGTCCCTTCAAGAATGAAGAGCAAACAGCAAACAACAAACAACAATTGGCAAAACCCTACCAAGAACAATTAATTTCTCTCTAATTATATGTCTTCCTTTATTTCTGTAAAGAATGTTTTGTGGTTGTATTCATATAAGTCATGAGTATTTTTGGGGTCAGTTAACTCTCAGATACTTATGCATTTTGTAGTTATTTTGGATTTCTCTTCTTACTAGTTTTTTGTTAGTAATATAGTGCCTTCCTTCTAAGACTTTCTCCAATTCTTCTTGTGTGTGTGTGTGTGTGTGTGTGTGTGTATATGTGTGTATATGTATATATGTATATATGTATATATGTATATATGTATATATGTATATATATATGTGTGTGTGTGTATATATATATGTGTGTGTGTATATATATATGTGTGTGTGTATGTGTATATATATGTATATATATAAAATTTGTACATAGTGGTTTGCATGTCATCTCCCTCATTAGCCAATGAGCTTGAGAGCTAGGACTGGTTTTGTTTTGGGGTTTGGTTTTTTTTTTGCCTTTCTTTGTATCCTTAGTCCTTAGCACAATGCCTGCAACATATTAAGTGCAAAATAATTGACTTGTTATCCAGAAAGACTAATGACTTTGTGGGTTCATATTATTATATCAATTAATCTTTTCATTGTATCTTAATGGCTCTCTAAATAAACTATCATGTCTCTGAAAACAGGGATAATATGGGTTCCTCTTTGCCTGTGCTTATTCCATTAGTTTCTTAACTTTGCCTCATTGCTATACCTAATATGTCCACAACTGTAGCCATTAGAGATGCACATCCTGGCTGTAGGCCTCTAGCATTTCTCCAGTACAAATAAGGCTAGCTCTTGATTTTAGACAGAGATTGTTTTTAGATCCATTGTACACATACTGTCTGTTAAGGAAAATAGAGACTCTTTGGAGGCACAGCCAACTTTAGTTTTTGTCTCAGTAATCACAGCACACAGTAGGTTGTTAGTATATGTGTGTTGAAGTGAATTGAGTATTTTTATACTTTTTACTATTCTTTTAAAATAATGAATGCTGTATTGCACGCTTTTTTGCCTCTTTTGTTAGCAATATGATTGATTACTATGTTTATAGTTTTCCTACTGTTGAACCATCCCTTCTTTCCAATTATAAATCCAGCTTGGTTCCCCACCCTGCTTGACTTTGCAGAGGAGTCAAACTAAGATCCAAAGAGATTAAGGGACCTGGCCAAGGTCAAATGGTAAAACATGGTGCATCCAGACCTCGAATACAAATCCCCAGACTCCCTTGTCCTTTCCCTACACCACTACAATTTAGTGAGAGAAAAATGCAAATTTATGGCCAGGTGTTCCGACAAACACTTTTCAGTGCAGCTGGACAGGAGTGGGATGAGAGTGATGGCATTTTCAAATTCCTCCTCACCCTGTTATTAGCCCAGGGTGGTTTGTTAGCAGGAAGGTATTTGAACAATGGCAAATATGCTCCTCCCGATGCATAAGCATCTACTGAGTCACAACAGTTGTGGGCACCTGCATCGTCACTAGCTTTGTTTGGTTTTCTTGGAGGAAAAGGGAGCACAAGAGCCACTGGTTCTTCCTATACTCTCTCCTTTAGTTGCAAACTATCTCCTTTCACTCTCAATTACATTCCAAGGGAACGTGAAGGAGGCAAAGCCTATAGATAGGCATAGTCCATTTGAAACAGATAGCGAGCAGGTGGTACTAGCACATGTAGAGATAGGAGAACCTGGCCTAGGAGGCGGTCAACACTAAGCTGTTCATAGAACACACAAAGAAATGTCTTCTCTGCAACCTGCCTAACAATAGAACATGTTGCTTGATTCTGGGGCCTCAAGATGGGGATGGTATCTCCCCACAATGATGTAGCTCTTACCAGTGAGTGACAGTGCATAATCTAGTTATCAGATAAATAGAAGAATGACCTAAATGGGTGCCTAAAAAGAACATGGCTATTTGGGTGCAGGGGTTTTTTCTATGCTCACACTTCAAATGACTTGAATCATGTAAAGATGCTAGAAAAAAGAGCTGGCCAAGCTGGAAAAGCAAAGCCTAGCAAATCCTCCATCTTCCCAAGAACCTCCAACTTAGTACAGGTGGCCTGGGTTCTGAGGTTCTTCAAAGGATCACAATCTCTGGCCATACTGGAAAAGCTAATGAGGATGGGCCTTTCACCAGGCTGTGTCTGCTGCCCAGGATCCAGTCCAGCCAAGTTCAAAGAGTCTCATCACCAGGTTGGCCCCAGCAGTTCTTCAAGACCATCTGCTAATTCAGTCAGTGGAGGGAGTTCCCAAGTGACCAAATCACAGATCTGGGCCTATGACTTCATCAGAAGCATAACAGAGCAATATCAGCATGGTTCCCTCCATCAACAGAGACACCAACCCCTCTTCACCTCAGTCATTGTGACCTGCCATGGCCAA